GCTCACTGAAACCTCCACCTCCCAGGCTGGTCGTGAACTTCTGAGCTCAAGCCTCAGCCCCCCAAAGTGCTGGGAATGTAGGCATGAACCACTGTGCCCAGCCCTAAACCAGTAATTTTCTATTAGATTATTTAGACATATACAAGTGACATTGATGTTGACCACCACCCACTCGAAAAAAGGCTGGATACTCAAAACAGATGATGTCTGAGTCTGAGTCATGTGCTTGCAGCAGACAGCCTTTGTGCTCACAAGCGCTCATGCGAGCCATGTGCACTTGTTTCTGCTGCAGTAGGAGGCACAGTGTACATCTGTGTGATTATGGAATACACAGGAATCCACTCAAAAAACAGATGAGTGCTTTTTTTTATGAATAGTGAACTAGGGCTAGTATCTTGCAGGAATAAAATTAACTTAGATGAGGGACCCACTTATGCAATGTTATCTTTTTGGTTCTTGGTCATGTCACCACTTACAGCATGCCTGCTTCTCAGTAAGACACCCTTTTGAGCACATTACTAGTATTCTTTCTCTCTTAAGTAAAGTTGTCCCCAATTCACAGATGAAGGCTGAGTGTCATGAAAGTTAGAGGACCCAAGTCGCACGACTGGTGAGTCCGGAGCTGGCTCTGTGTGGTGTGGCGCACCTCCTCTGCTTGTCGAACGAGGCTGGAGTCTCTATCAGGCATGGGCAGCAGAGTCTGTCTTGAACCGAGCTGTGTGCCTGGACGTCCAGAGTGCTTCCTCTTCTGAGCTTGTCTTTTACAGCGCGGTGTTTGTGACGGTGCCCTTCCCCAGTAGTGCCTCCTCCCGCTCCCCTGAGGAGTTAAGTCACGTCTGCTGTTTGTTACCCTAGCTGTGTTGTCTGTTGGATGTGTCATCTTTGGGGTGAGTTTAGTCTACTGGGAAACCGGACACTGAGACCATGTGTTCATTGAGTGATGCCTCCTCTACCAGCCGTCATCCTGAGCCAGTCAGGGCGGGCCTGAGAATGAATTCTCTCGCTTGTGGCATGAGGTCATTAGCTTTCACTAATGACTTCCGTGTTCTTCTTTTCAAACATTGAACCTGTTATCAACCAAAAATATTACACACAATCCCAGCACATAAAGCCCAGGGTGCTGCTCTGAGGAGAGGGTGGAAGGAGGGTGTCTGGGCTGAAGATCTGTAGATGGTTTCTTCAAGGTTGCAAGGGGCTACAGGGCTTGGGCCTGGGACAGACACTGGGTGGGGTTTCTGTCCTTCGGTGTTATCTAATCTGGTCACTGTAGTATTTTATAATCAGTTTTGGCTCTTTGTTTTGGGGGGTCTCATGACCCTCTACACATCTGATGATTAGAAGGACTCACAGAACTCAGTCTCACAGCTGCAGTTTATTCCAGCAAAGGGTACAAAGCAGGATCAGTAACAGAAGCAGACAGATCAGGTGGAGGCTGAAGAAAGCAGGAGTGGCTGTATTAATAGAAGATAAAGTCAACTTCAGAGCAAAGAATATTGCCAGGGAGATTACATAATAATAAGAGTCAAACCACCACCAAGAAAACATAGCAGTGCTAAATGTTGATGCATCAAACAACAAGGCTTATATATTTGAAGGAAAGACTAATAGAAGTAAAAGGAAAGTGAACAATTCCACAGTTACAGTTGGGGATTTCAACACTCCTTTTAGTAACTGACAGAACAAGTAGACACAAAATCAGCAACAGTAGAAAAGAACTGAACACCACCATCGACCAACAGGATCTAACTGACATGTGTAGGATACTCTACCCCACAACAGCAGAATATATACATTTTTCAGATTCCCATGAAACATTCACCAAGACAGACCATACCCTGGGCCATAAAACTCACCTCAACAAAATTTAAAGAACTGAAATCCTATGGAGAGTGTTCTCCAATCACAATGAATTCAAACCAGAAACCAGTAACAAAAAGATAACAAAAAAATATCTATATGCTTGGAAAGTAGCACACTTTTAAATAATCCTTGAATTGAAGAGGAAGTCTCAAGGGAAATTAAAAAATACATTGAATTGAGTGAAATGCAAATATATCAAGATTTGTGGTATACAGCTAAAGAAGTGCTGAGAGGGAAGTTTACAGCACTGAAGACTCACAGTAGGGTGAGTAGTGTCCTCAGACAAGCTGAGGGGTGTCCTTCTGCAGGAACCACCTCGATACGCTTGGGCTCTATGTCCCCACCCAAATATCATCCCAAATTGTAATCCCCATAACCCCCATGTGTGGAGGGAGGGACCTGGTGGCAGGTGATTGGATCGTGGCAGTGGTTCCCTCATGATATGATAGTGAGTGAGTTCTCACGAGATCTGATGGTTTTATAAGGGGCTCTTCCCCCTTCGCTCTCTTCTCATTCCTGCCACTTTGTGAAGAAGGTGCCTGCTTCCCCTTCACCTTCCGCCATGACTGAAGTTTTCTGAGGCCTCCCCAGCCATGTGGAACTGTGAGTTAAGTAAACCTCTTTCCGTTATAAATTACCCAGTCTCAGGTATTTCTTTATAGCAGGGTGAAAATGGACTAATACAGTACACTGGTACTGGTAGAGTGGAGTACTGCTGTACAGACACCCGAAAATGTGGAAGTGACTTTGGAACTGGGGAACAGGCAGAGTTTGGAACAGTTTGGAGGGCTCCGAAGAAGGCAGGAAGATGTGGGAAAGTTTGGAACTTTCTAGAGACTTGTTGAATTGTTTGTTTGTTTGTTTGCTTTTTGAGACGGAGTCTCACCCTGCTGCCAGGGCTGGAGTGCAGTGGTGCAATCTTGGCTCACTGTGACCTCCGCCTCCCGAGTTCAAATAATTCTCCTGCCTCAGCCTCCCGAGTAGTGGGATTACTGGTACCCACCACCACACCCAGCTAATTTTTTTGTATTTTTAGTAGAGACAGGGTTTCACCATGTTGGCCAGGCTAGTCTCAAACTCCTGACCTCATGATCCGCCCACCTCAGCCTCCCAAAGTGCTAGGATTACGGGGTGAGCCGCCGCGCCCAGTCTGTTGAATGGTTTTGACCAAAATGCTAATGGTGCTATGGACAATAAAATCCAGGCTAAGGTGGTCTCGGAGTTGAGGAACTTGTTGGGAACTGGAGCAAAGGTCACTTTTACTGTACTTTAGCAAAGAGACTAGCCGCATTTTGCCCCGCCCTAGAGATCTGTGGTACATTGAACTTGAGAAATATCTGAAATTGGAGTTTATGTTTAAAAGGGAAGCACAGTATAAAAGTTTGGAAAATTTGCAGCCTGATGATGTGATAGAAAAGAAAAACCCACTTTCTGGGGAGGAATTCAAGCTGGCTGCAGAAATTTTGAATATCAGTCACCAAGACAATGGGGAAAATGTTTTCAGGACATGTATGAGGCAGCCCCTTCTATCACAAACCCAGAGGCTTAGGAGGGAAAAATGCTTTCCTGGGCTGGGCCCAGGGCTCGCCCTGGCCCCGTCACCCTTCCCCACTTTGCGCAGCTTCAGGACTTGGTGCCCTGCATCTCAGTCGCTAAAAGGGGCCAATGTACGGCTCAGGCTGTTGCTTCAGAGGGTGCAAGCCCCAAGCCTTGGTGGCTTCCATGTGGTGCTGGACCACCTAGATTTCAAAGGGTATGTGGAAATGCCTGAATGTCCAGGCAGAAGTTTGCTGCGGGGGTGGAGCCATCATGGAGAACCTCTGCTAGGGCAGTGAAGAAGGGAAATAGGGGGTTGGAGCCCCACACGCAGAGTCCCCACTGGAATACTGCCTAGTGGAGCTGTAAAAAGAGGGCCATCCTCCACTCAGCTTGCACTGTGTACATGGAAAAGCCACAGACGATGCCAGCCTGTGAAAGCAGCCGGGAGGGGGACTGTACCCTGCAAAGCCACAGGGTGGAGCTGCCCAAGACCGTGGGAGCCCACCTCTTGCATCAGTGTGACCTGGATGTGAGACACGGAATCAAAGGAGGTTATTTCAAAGCTTTAAGATTTAATGACTGCCCCACTGGACTTTGGACTTGCATGGGGTCTATAGCCCCTTTGTTTTGACCATTTTCTCCAATGCCTATACCCCTATTGTATCTAGGAAGTAACTAACTTTTTTTTTTTTATTACACAGGCTCATAGGTGGAAGGGACTTGACTTGTCTCAGATGAGACTTTGGACTTGGATTTTTGAGTTAATGCTGGAATGAGTTAAGACTTTGGGAGACTGTGGGGAAGGCATGATTGTATTTTGAAATGTGAGGACCCGTGAGATAAGGTTTGGCTGTGTCCCCACCCAAATCTCATCTCCAGTTGTAATCCCCATTATCCTCACATGTCAAGGGCGGGACCTGGTGGGAGCTGATTGGCTCATGGGGGCAGTTTTCCGCCTGCTGTTCTTGTGATAGTGAGTGAGTTCTCACCAGATCTGATGGTTTTATAAGGGGCTTCACCTTTTGTTCTCTCTTCTATCTCCTGCCTTCTTGTGAAGAAGGTGCTTGCTCCCCCTTTACCTTCTGCATAACTAAGTTTCCTGAGGCCTCCCCAGCCATGTGGAACTGTGAGTCAGTTAAACCTGCTATTTTAAAAAATAAATTATGCAGTCTTGGGTATTTCTCTATAGCATTGTGAAAATGGACTAATACACACCCTAACTACCTTCCTCACCCTCCTACCCCACAGGGGTCTCTCCCAGCTCCAGGGGTGCCCTGTGCATCCTGAGAAGGCAGCTCCCCCGGCCCCTTCAGGGTCCGACCGTGGGCATCCTGCTGGGAGACTGGGAGGCGGGGGACTCCAAATTGGCAATTCAACAAATGTTGCAACACATGGTTTTGTTTTTTCTATTTTAGCAGGTTCTTTTTGGTGGCAGGCTGAGTGGGTTTTATAATTGTACCAGTTAAGGGCAGTAGATTTTACAAGTCAGCAGACTCGGACCCCTTCACCTGAGCCTGTGTGTGTTGAGTGATCTTCTCATGCAATTCTTCATCTGCACGTGTGCAGAGACCATGCTGAGAGCTCTGTGCCCTGTTTTCCAGGCTTTGAACTTGGCCTACTCCAGCATTTACGGCAGCTACCGGAACTTCGTGGGACCTCCACACTTTCAAGTCATCTGCCGGCTCCTCGGCTACCAGGGCATCGCCGTGGTCATGGAGGAGCTGCTGAAGGTCGTCAAGAGCCTGGTGAGTGTTCCCTGGACACGCTTCCTTCTCACAGCCTGAATTCCCTGGGGTACCCAAGCCAGAGGGTCTTCTCTGCCTGGACTGTGATTCTCCAACAGCTGGATTCATTCAATTACTTGAATGAATTACTTGAATGAATCATTGAATTACTATTCAATTCAAACACTTCTGACCATATATAGTTTGATACCTCCCTCATCTTTTCAAACTTAAAAGAATGGGTCCAGGTTATTTTAACTGATACACTGAGTTTTTATTTGTATGTCTAGAGATGGGGTCTTGCTGTGTTGCCCAGGCTGGCTTTGAACTCCTGGGCTCCAGAGATCTGCCCCTCTTGGCCTCCCAAAGTGCTGGAATTACAGGTGTGAGCCACCTTGGTCAGCCTGGATTTAGTTTTCTATACATAACTTACTTTTTATACTTTTTCATCCTTTTTATTATTTTAACAGTCTTCTGTGACTGAGACCACGTAAGAGTTTGGTCACTTGGCACAGCCATTACCCCGTGACCCAAACAGGTCCTTCCAGGACCCGCTGGGGACTCTGCACCAAAAAAATGTGGCAGCTTGGAGGGTGTCAGGATTGCGGACCTCACCACAGCCGGGCTGGGGGCCGCACCCAGGAGCACAGATGGCGTCTTGGGGGACCCTGGAGCTGGCAGTGCTCACCGTGCTGGGGGCACCCCTGTAGGAGACACCTGGTGACAAAGCTCTCCCCTCGCTGTGGCACCGCTTTCCTCTCGGAAGGAGAGTCCAGTTCAGAAGGTGAATTCAGTCATGGGAAGCCACCTGGTGACGGTTGTTCTCTCTCCAGGGCTGGTTTCATTCCCCTGCCAGGTGATCCTGCAGCCTCCTCGTTAGCAAGCTCTTTGCTAACAGACTTGTTTCAGGGCGTGTGCTGGCCACAGGCATTAGCAGAGTGCAGTGGGGTGACTGATGCCGCCTGTCTCGTCCCCCCGCAGCTGCAAGGCACAATCCTGCAGTACGTGAAGACGCTGATGGAGGTGATGCCCAAAATCTGCCGCCTGCCGCGGCACGAGTACGGCTCTCCCGGTGAGTGTGGGCACCTCCGGGCGTGTGCAGCTCACAGCGCTGTCCGTGGAGAGGTCAGAAAGGAATTCAAGTCAGAAATTCTTGGGAAGGATTAGATTTGCCATGTGGGAGGAGGCAGTAGACAGACAAATGCACCTTACAACCAGGAAGAGGTGTGTTGGGTCACTGTCTGCAGGTGAGGAAGCTGAGGGGCCTGGGAGGTCAGCCTGCAAGAGTTGAGACGACAGAGCCCTGACCACCACGCTCTACCATGCCCCTACGAAAGAACCGCCGGCCCGATGAGGCGAGAGAGCCGACTGCCGGGTCCTGCTGCCCTGCTGGGCCTGTAGGGGCTTGAGGCTCAGAGACAGGCCCACCAAGGTGGTGCAAGGCCTGCCCCTGCCCCCATCCATCTGCAGGTCCAGCTGCGGGGCCCTCAGGCAGGTGTGCTCTTAGGGACGGGCCGCAGGACTTGCTGTGGGCTGGTTTGGGGCTATGCAGTTAAATAGCTTTAGTGATCTCAAAAAGCATTGTCTCATGATAAAACAGGGACCTCTGTCACGTAACAAAACTGCTTTTAGTCTCTTACCTGGCAGTTTTCTTGAAAGCTGGACAGCTGAACACTAGCCTTGTGTCGTAAAGTGACTGGAGCCTGCACGTGGGTGACTGACAAGGCACTGTCCTGATGGGCAGTGTCAGCGTGGCTGAGCTCTTCAACACGTGCCCAGGACTTTTTGCTTTTTGGCACCTCCCCGGGGCAGTTGCTGGTGTTTGAGGAGACGATAAGGTCCCCCTCAGCCACCCTGGGGAAGTAACTGTCGGCACGGCCCTGGCTCAAGAGAATCTGATTTCAGTTTATTGCCAGAAAGTAGACGAGGAACGCTGGGATGGTGCAACCAATGCTTGTGTCGTGACTAGAGATGGGAATTTCAGATGTTGAGGAGGGAGCCGTTTCCCAGGGTGGCACAGGGAAACCTTGTCAGGGATGACAGGTGCAGGAGTGTCCCTGCCCCCACCAAGTGGGGCTGAGTCCCCACAGCGGTGCCGAGAGCTGGGAGGAGCGGGGGCAGGGGCTGCAGCTGTAAGGCAGGCGGGGCCGTGTCAGGCTGCTGGTCCTTGGGGAAGGGGCAGTCGGGCAAGACATGCTGGGACAAGGGTTCACGGTCTGCTGAGCCTCCTGCTTGGCTCTTCCCAGGGTGGTTTCGGCCCCTCCTGATGCCACATTCATCGTGCAGTCAGCTGCCGGTTTCTGTCTGGGCTGGAGTCGAAGCTATAGATTGGCTGGGGGAACGTTGGCCCTCTGTCCCATATTTGCGCCTTGCATCTTTTTGTGCCTTATTCCGTGGTCCGGGATGCCGCTGAGATGCCTGCCTTGCTCCAGAGCCGGCACGGTGTTTGGCCTCCCGTTGGGTGTGCTGTTAGCTCGCTGCAGGCTTCCTAGATGCCGTTTCTCAGATGAGGTGCGGCCCCTTCCATGCCTGTGAAGAGAGACTGCATTTTGTCAGTACCTTGTCGCCCCCACTGGGGATGATGGTGCAGTCTTCATTCTTGTCACGTGGTGACATTCCTATCGTCAGAGCCTTCCCTAAAGATATGGGGTTGAGTGGAAAAGAGGCCTCAGCCGAGGCCCAGGGCCACATGGTGTGTGGAGAACGTGCCCAGGTGGTGAACAAACTACCACCGCAGGGAAGATGCTGGGGATGGGACGTGGTGGCCATCCTTATAGCCGGGCTCGGTGGCGGTGTCAGAACGGCAGGTACTCCCGGCTGTGGACCCCGGCTGCTGGGGCCCGGCCCCTCCAGTCCCCCAACCCCACCTCACTCCTGCGCCGCAGGCATCCTGGAGTTCTTCCACCACCAGCTGAAGGACATCGTGGAGTACGCAGAGCTGAAGACGGTGTGCTTCCAGAACCTGCGGGAGGTGGGGAACGCCGTCCTCTTCTGCCTGCTGATCGAGCAGAGCCTGGTGAGTGCCCCGCCCGGCCCGGCCTCCCCCACCGCCCACGGGGAGGGCTTGCTTTTGTGGGTTCTTCAGTGGGGGTGTGGCAGCAGCAGTGCGGTAAACCTTTTTTTCGTGACTGTTGAGACTTTAGTTTGAATTTGTTCCCTTCAACTGAAAAACAAAAATGTACTGTAGTTCATTGTCTCAAGAATGTTTTTCTGTGTTAACATCATAAAACTTTTATTATGCGATGTTTTCAACACCTAAATGAACTTACTTGGTGTGCCTGTACGGTATAAAGAGCACTGCTGCCCAGGAGGGTCTCTGCATGCCTGAGGCTGCTGAGCAGTTGAAGTGTGGCTCAGTGTGACTGAGGAACTGAGTGCTCAATGTTACTGAATTATAACTGATTTAAATCTAAATGGCTCCACGTGCCCCGTGGTGGACAGCACGAGAGGCCAGCCTGAAAGGGGAGCCCCTGGGAGCCCCTCTTAGGACGTGGCACAGTGGACGCTCATGGTTTCGACTGGCCGCCTTTTTGTGTGCCATGTGGCTGTCCCTCTGTCCTGTGCATCACAGCAGCTCAGCTGATAACCTCCTGGACCGGGAAAGCCAGTGGGAAATGGAATCTCACGTGGCCCTCTCCTGCCTTCCCTCGTGACTAACGAGGCGGGCAGCTCCGTTCGTTGCGTCGTCTTGTTTCTCTTCCTGTTAAACGCCCCACTGGGTTCTTCTGTCTACTTTTCTACAGCTCGTCTGTACAGATCCTTTATGTGCTGCACATATTGTAAATCTCCCATTTGTGGCTTACCTTTTCGCTCTGGTAGTGGTGATTTTTGATAAAATGCTCTTAATTTGGAAGTAGCCCTTTTTTTAATGATTAGCACTTTCTGTACCTTTTTTTTTTTTTTTTTTTAAAAAGACATTTTCTCTGTCTTGGGGTCGTGAAAACATTCCTTTACGTTCTCATCTACGGATTTTAAGCTTTGCCTTCTGCATGGAAGTTTGCAGTCCTTCTGGAGTTGGTCTTTGTGTATAACGCGAGAGGCAGAGGAAGCTGCTTTCTCTCTCTCTGGAGGCCCGGCTGTCCCTCCTCTAGTGGCTCAAGGGCTCCTCCTCCCATTGCTGACTAGTGGTGTCCCCCGCTGTCTGCCAGCTTTTCACGGGGACACCGGCCTGTCTCCTGACTTTCTGCTGCATCCCGCCGGTGCAGACATCTGTCTCCTGCCAGTCCAGGCGTCCGTCTCCCGCCGGTGCAGACATCTGTCTCCTGCCAGTCCAGGCGTCCGTCTCCCGCCGGTGCAGGCGTCTGTCTCCGTGTGTCTCCTGTCTCCGTGTTCTTACCAGTGCAGACATCTGGTCTCCGTGTGTCTTCCCGCTGCCCAGGCGTCGTTCTCCCGCCAGTGCAGGCGTCCCCGTCTCTCCTGCCGGTGCAGGCGTCTGTCTCCATGTGTTCTCCTCGCCGGCCCAGCGCTGCCTCCCGCCAGTGCAGGCGGGCGCTCCGTCTCTCGGGCCGGTGCAGGGTGCCTGTCTCCGTGTCTCTGCCGGTGCAGGCGCCTCGTCTCTCTCGCCGGTGCAGGTGTCTGTCTCCGTGTGTCTCCCGGGCTGTCCAGGCTGCCTCCCGCTCGGTGCAGGCGTCCGTCTCCCGCCGGTGCAGGCGTCTGTCTCCGTGTGTCTCCCGCCGGTGCAGACATCTGTCTCCGTGTGTCTCCCGCCAGTGCAGGCGTCCGTCTCCCGCCGGTGCAGGCGTCCGTCTCCCGCTGGTCCAGGCATCTGTCTCTGGCGTCACAGCATGTCTTGCTCATCATTGCCCTAACATGACTCGATTCCCGACGTGGCACGTTTCCTACCTTGCTCCTCCTCTTCAGCATGTTCCCTCCTCGGGGCTCTTTGCCCTGTTCTGGGATTGGTTTGCCGCATGCCCTGGCAAAGCGTTTGGCTTGTGCATGGGAGCGGCACTGCATCTGCAGAGCTGCCTGGGGAGGCCCTTCCTATGTTGTTTCCCAAAGTGGTCTCTTGTCTTCAGGTCTCTGGTAGCTTTGCAAAGGCAGAGTTGTGTTTAGGAAGAACAGGGATAGGGTGGCCTGTACACAGCTCAGGGCATTGCTGTCAGACTGCCAGGCCTCTGGGGACTGAGCCTCTGGACCAGCCGCCTCACACCAGCCTGTGCAGTGAAAGAGAATGTGTTGGCTCACGTCAGGGGAGTCCCAGGTCAGGCATGACATGCCTGGGAGCTGACAGCCTCCATCAGACATGCTTCTTCAGCTCCCCCCATCCCTGTACTCCTAGGCAGACCTGTTCCAGGTGGTTTCAAAGAGGGACTGTAGCAGCCCCAGGCCTTCATTGTCCCGGCCACCCACAGGCTTGGCGGGGACCCCAAGTAGCATCCCCTCCCATGCTCCACTCCCCACTGTGTGAGGGGCACAAGATGGAGAACCCACCAGCGTCTCAGGCCAGCAAGGAGCCAGTGTCCAGGGTGGCCTTGCTTTAAGGATATGTTCCCCAAATAATTGTGAATTGTTAAAAGCCAGATATGTTAGGAAGCATCTCTTTAACTATAATCTCTCATTATGAATTTTAAATATTTATTTATTTATTTATTTATTTTTTTTTTTTTTTTTGAGGCGGAGTTTCGCTCTGTCGCCCAGGCTGGAGTGCAGTGGCCGGATCTCAGCTCACTGCAAGCTCCGCCTCCCGGGTTCACGCCATTCTCCTGCCTCAGCCTCCCGAGTAGCTGGGACTACAGGCGCCCGCCACCTCGCCCGGCTAGATTTTTTTTGTATTTTTTAGTAGAGACGGGGTTTCACCGGGTTAGCCAGGATGGTCTTGATCTCCTGACCTCGTGATCCGCCCGTCTCGGCCTCCCAAAGTGCTGGGATTACAGGCTTGAGCCACCGCGCCCGGCCATGAATTTTAAATATTTAATGTGGGAATATTCCATTCATGGGCAACTTTTCCTGAACTTACAGCATAAGGCTGTATCTTAGTCCGTTCTGCTATCTTAGTCTGCTTAGTCCATTTTGTGTTGCTGTAGCAGTGCCTGAGACTGAGTAATTTATAAAGAAAAGGAGTTTATTTGGCTCATGACTCTGGAGGCTGGGAAGTCCAAGACCAGGCAGCCCATCTGTCAGGGTCACATGCTGCTTCAGCTCCTGGGGACACAGAAGGGGACGTGGGTGTTGCAGAGAGAACAAACATGAGAGGCAGCCTTGCTTACAACAACTGCTCTCACAGGAACTCATCCATTCCCACAAAAACTAATCCAGTTGTGGGAGAACTGACCCAATCTTGCAGGAAATCCATCACCTCTCAAACAGACCACCTTCCAACACTGCTACATTGGCAATTACATTTCACCATGAGTTTTGGCAGGGACAAACCACATCCAAACCATAGCCTCTGTGTACGGCCAAGCCTGAGGATGCCTGTCTGGTCACTGGCCTCAGGTCCGGGAGGTGAGACCCGAGCTTTCCGAATGGGAGGCAGCCGTGTGGAATCGGCCAAGCCTGAGGATGCCTGTCTGGTCACTGGCCTCAGGTCCGGGAGGTGAGACCCGAGCTTTCCGAATGGGAGGCAGCCGTGTGGAATCGATTTAGATAGTGTCAGGGAGCCCTTAGGACTGCTTTCTCTTCTGTCCAGCTGCCCTTTTTGGAAATAAGATAAAGTGTCAAAAGCTTTTCTTTACATCAACATTTCTTTTTTTTTTTTTTTTTAAGATTGGAGTTTCGCTCTCGTTGCTTAGGCTGGAGTGCAGTGGCACAATCTTGACTCACCGCAACCTCCACCTCCTGGGTTCAAGTGATTCTCCTGCCTTAGTCTCCCGAGTAGCTGGGATTGCAGTCATGCACCACCACGGGCCCGGCTAATTTTGTATTTTTAGTAAAGACAGAGTTTCTTCATGTTATCAGGCTAGTGATCTGCCCACCTCACAGAGTGGCCGTGAGTTGGTAATTGTAGTGGGTGATGGGGGTTGGGTGTAGACAAAACAGAGTGGCCGTGAGTTGGTAACTCCCGACCTTAGGTGATCTGCCCGCCTCGGCCTCCCAAAGTGCTGGGATTACAGGCATGAGCCACCGCGCCCGGCCTGACATTCTTTACATACACAAACTCTTGTGGTTCTGTATTTATGTCTATCCCAGGACTCATGGACATAAATAATTATAGAACCACAAGAGTTTGAAGCAGGCAGGATGCAATTTCCTGGGACAATCTCTTAGCTTAAAGGCACCGTTTCTGTGCATTGCCATGGCAACAGTTGGCCCTCTGTTGGCTTCTGGATGGAGTGTGAAGCTGCATTAGAAACTTAGGGAAAGAGAAGCGGAACAGATGGCGTCTGGCCGGCGTCTGGCACTGGATTGACGTTGATGAGTATGGAAAAGTCTGCTTTTCTTCCTCTTGGTCTTAGTTTTGCCATCATCTCTGGGAGTTCCTCAGAAGTTAAAATCTCATTGTCAGTATTTCTTGATTTTTCCAATAGCTGTTTCTTTGTTTAATCATTTCTTTTACTCCTGTGGAGCTTTAAGATTTCAGCATGGCTGTAGGGTAGGAGGCACTGAAGGCCCCACCATCTTCTGCCTGCTCCATGGGGTGGTGAACGCACTGTGGTCTGAAGAGGCCCTTCCTGCTGGCCTGAGAGCCCTCACCTCTAAAGATGAACAGCAGTTGCTCTATTTTTGACCATCTTTGGGTTCATGGTGGATTTGGGGGGTTCTGCTGTCCTCATGATCCTGGAGGTACATTTTCTGTCTATATATGCGTTATTCTGGAGAATGGACCTTGTGTGGTTTTTATTACCCCTGTAAAGGAGTTTGTGACCTGAGAGTAGGCTCAGCGTGATGGCCCAGAACTTTGCTTTGGGTTCTGTGGGGAAGGAGTGGATGTGGACACCAGGACGGGCCTCCCCTACTCCTTCCATCTCCCGTGTTGTTTGCAGAAGACGCCCTTCCTTCGGTCAGTGTGATGGGATCTTGTCATAAACTGTGGTTCTGAAGAGCCTGGTGGCAAATTAGCAGGGAAGGATGGGGCGAGAGCTATTAGACTGGTAAATCCTGGAAAACAGAGCACGCATTCAACATTGGGTCTTACGTGTGTCTACATCTACATTAATTAAATGTAACTAAAATTAAAATTCAGTTCCTCAAGTGCACAAGCCACATTCCGAGTACGTAATAGGCATGCATGGCCGGCGGCTGCCGGAATGGACAGGACAGACGTAAGCATTTCCATCATCCCAGAGAAATCTCTTGACAGGCTACCTAATTTTATGCTAAAAGGCAAAGAGGTTCTTTGTTTTCAGCACCAGATCTCTCTCTGTGGCAAGATACCCTTCCTAGCGTGACCTTCTTTTTCTCTGTTCCAGTCTTTAGAAGAAGTGTGTGACTTGCTGCACGCGGCTCCCTTCCAGAACATCTTGCCGCGAGTCCATGTGAAAGGTGAGCCTGCTGACCCCACCAGGGAGTCCAGACTGCCCTGTCGGGATGGTGCCCGCTCTGCAGCCGGAGAGCCTAACGGCCAGTGCAGATTGTAGGTTTGGTGCCTGTTCAGTCATACCCAGGGGTAATGAGGGGTGTACAGAACCTGGTTAAATAAGATTGAGAAATAGAGCTGCAATGATATGATGTCTTAGAATTGCTTCCAAATATTAATAGCATGGGAGCAGGGGAGTTGGATGTAGAAGAAATAGAGTGGCCGTGACTTGGTAACTGTAGTGGCTGATGGGGGTTGGGTGTAGAGGAAACAGAGTGGCCGTGAGTTGGTAACTGTAGTGGCTGATGGGGGTTGGGTGTAGAGGAAACAGAGTGGCCGTGAGTTGGTAACTGTAGTGGGTGATGGGCACAGAGGCTCATTGTGCTGTTTTCTGCTTTCAGTTACATTTGGAATGTTCAATAAATGAAAAGTGAATATTGAGCAAAAAATCGGTCCAGCTAGTTTGAATTAAAATATTAAATGAGCCAGTTCTGTAAAATAATTTCCAAAGAGAATCTGTATCCATATTAACATAAAAATCTTTTGTTTTTTAAACAAATTTAAACCTTTGCAATTACCGTTTCATACAAAGGAGCAGAATAAAGTATTTTTTCTACTGCAGAGGGGGAGAGACTTGATGCCAAAATGAAAAGACTGGAATCCAAGTATGCCCCGCTGCATCTTGTCCCACTGATCGAAAGACTGGGGACCCCTCAGGTAACGTGTGCCATGAGGGCTGAGGCTGTTGCAAGCTGGGCATCCATGCCAGGCCAGGTGGCCCGGGTGGGAGCCAGACCGGAAGGCATCGTGAAGTTGAGTGGCTGCGCGGCCGCTCAGGCCTCAGTGTTGCAAGTGGGGCGCATACCTGGACTGCTTCCCGGGGTGGTGGGGGGTTCAGATGAGCTAACGCCTGGAAAGGGCTTAGCACATCAGCTGGCACGTAAGACTTACACAGAAGATGTCACTTTCACTGTCCAGCCCTTCGTGAAGGCGGCTTTCCCACAGGTGTTATTTTAGGCCACGAGGCCAGGTGTCAGGGTAGAGTTCTACAGCGATCCAGCTGCGTATGCTAAGTCAGGGCTTCTCAGCCATTTGGACCAGGTAACTCGATGGTGGGCACTTGGGCCTCCTATGCATTGCAGGATGTTTGCAGCATCCCTGGCTTCCACACTAGAGGCCAGTAGGCCCAACTCCACCCAAAACATTTTCCCAAGGCTGGGTGCTGTTGTTCATTCCTGTCTTCCCAGCACTTTGGGAGGCCAAGACAGGAGTTCAAGACCAGCCTGGGCAATGTGGCGAAACTCCGTCTCTACAGAAAGTACAAATATTATCCAGGCGTGGTGGCATACGCCTGGTCGCTTGAGCCAGGGAAGTCAAGGCTGCAGTGACCTGTGGTTGTGCCACTGCACTCCAACCTAGGCAGCAGAGCAAGACCCTGTCTCAAAAGAAAAAAGACATAGAGGATATGGAGTAGCTGGATGCCTGGAGGCCCACAACATTCCACCGCTTGTCCTTTCTGCAGCAAATTGCCATCGCGAGAGAGGGGGACCTGCTGACAAAGGAGCGCCTCTGCTGTGGCCTGTCCATGTTTGAGGTCATCCTGACACGGATCCGGAGCTTTCTGGATGACCCCATCTGGCGCGGGCCTCTGCCCAGCAATGGGGTCATGCATGTTGACGAGTGTGTGGAGTTTCACAGACTGTGGAGTGCCATGCAGTTTGTCTACTGCATTCCTGTGGGGACACACGAGTTCACAGTCGAGTAAGTGTGTGCTCAGAGCAGGACAAAGCCCCAGGGGAGGGGAGGGGCTTAGGGCAGGGGCCAGGTGTTAGGCTAACAAGCGGCCAGCCATGCTCAGGAAGTGGACCAGAAACTCACTGAGCTGCTTTTAAGCCTCCTATAGTGGGAATTCTTACTTGATGCCAAGGAGCTGGCTCAGGACTTTAGTATTCAGGGAGTCTCTGAACCCACGGCAATTGTATGCACGTGGACGTTCATTTTTCTAGGTGGGAGGTCTGTAAAGTCATTCATCACAGAGGGGATATGATCTAAAAAGGGTTAGGAAGCAGCACACCAGAAGAGCCCAAAAAGGATATCTACCAAAACCAGGGAACAGCCACCTGCTGCCCGGCATTCTCTTCCTGGCTGTGGAAGGTGACTGTGGGCACAGACAGTAATAGTCATGCAGATGGCTTGGTCACTGACATCTGGAGACAGACTCAGAAAAGACTTAACGGATCACTCACCCCCCATTGTTTCTGCTACTTGTTCTAGGCAGTGCTTCGGTGATGGGCTACACTGGGCCGGCTGTATGATCATCGTACTTCTTGGGCAGCAGCGGCGTTTTGCTGTGCTGGATTTCTGCTACCATCTCCTTAAAGTCCAGAAACATGATGGCAAAGATGAGATTATTAAAAATGTGGTATGTGGATGAAAATCTCCCACCATCTGTGGACCTTTTGCAAAAGCGTACTTTCTCTGTGTTGTAAGTTCTTGTTCCTGGGAATGTTTTTCACCCTAGTACATAAGGTGCCACCAACAGAAACTTCCTTTTCGTTCCCAAAATGAATCGAAATCTAATTGGCCAGTAAAGCAGTGTTCCATTTTCCTTCTCAAGGTACTTAGATTTACTTCCAGTCTTACAGAATCTGCATTGTCAGAATATTGGCAACTATTCCAGTCTTCGGGCTCCCTAGAAGTCAACGTGTGCTTTCTTGGCCTTTTGTCTTTGTCGCTTTATGGATTCCTCATAGTTGAATTCTGGAAAATACTCAGCCATTATCTTTTGAAATATTTTAGCCTCCCTTCCATTCTCCCTGTTCTTGCCATTCACGACTTCAGTTAGACATATGTTAGACCTTCTCATTCTATTCTCCACATCCCTGTTGTATTAGTTTTTTTTTTTTTTTTTTTTTTGAGACAGAGTTTCACTCTTGTTGCCCAGGCTGGAGTGCAATGGCGCGATCTCGGCTCTCTGCAACCTCCGCCTCCTGGGTTCAAGCAATTCTCCTGCCTCAACCTCCTGAGTAGCTGGGATTACAGGTGCCCACCACCATGCCCGGCTAATTTTTGTATTTTTAGTAGAGACAGGGTTTCACCATGTTGGCCAAGCTGATCTCCAACTCCTGACATGAAGTGATCCTCCCATCTCCCAAAGTGCTGGGATTACAGGTGTGAGCCACTGCGCACAGCCCTGTTGTATTAGTTTTCTATTGCTTCCATAACAACAAATCACCACAGGCTTGGCAGTTTAAACACCACTGATTATCTCACAGTTCTCTAAGTCAGATGCCTGGGTTCAGCCAGGCCCAGCTGGGTCCTCTGCTCAATCTCATGAAGCCAGTGTCCGAGGTGCTGTGTTCAGCCTGGAGGCCTTCAGGCTTATGCAGTTGGCTGAATTATTCCTTGGCAGTTCTAGGACTGGGTCCCCCTTCCTTCTCATGCTTTCCAAGTGACCCCCTCCAGCAATGGTGGGTTGGGCAGTCTCAGCCTCTAGTCTTCTGCCACGTCTCTCCTGCCTCCAGCCAGAGAACATTCCCTGATCATGATTATATTGAGCCCACTGGACAACCCCAGACACTCTCCCTGTCCTGTCCTACAGTCCACAGTCTTAGCCACACCTGCCCAGGCCACATGGGGTGGAGGCAGTGCAGTCACAGGCTCCAGGTCATGGGCCTCTCTCAGGGGCCGTTCTACCTCCAACTCCTCCATTTCCGGGGCTCCCAGAGCTGTATCCAGAGTACTGTCTTCACGTGTCTTAGTTAACTCGTTTACTTCAGCTCTAATGTGCTGAGCTTTTACTCTGAAAAAATTATTAGTTCACTTTTTAAAGTTCAGTTAGGTTCTTCTTCAAATCTTCTTGGTAACTGAGTTTGTCTTAACTGAATTTTTTCCATCTCTTATTTCTTTATCCAGTTCATATATTCTATATTCTGCATGTTTTCCTTCTAGTATCTGAAGGTCTTGGAGGTATTTAAAACTTTGCTGTTTCCTTGTGTGTTGGGTTATTTGGGAGTCTTTATTTAATTGGACTTAATTTAGATTGCTTTCCCTCCAACATGTGCATTTGCATCTGCCCATCTCTAGGGGCTGCTGGCAACTCAGGGCCACTTTAGCCGAATTGGAGGTTCCTGGCTTTTTTGGAGTCTCTGGTGTGGTCCCACTTGCTTATGCCTGGGCCGCTCCTCACCCCACTGCTGCTGTTGGCATGTGCCCCCGAGGAGGCCCTGGCTTCCCCCTTACCACCTGCATAGGCAGAACCAGCAATGCTTTTCAAAGTTTTTTGTTTGTGTGTACGTACGTTCTTTATTCCTGTTGTAGGAGGGTCTGTCAGAGTACTCCATCACAGTATTATTTCCAGACTGGAAGTCTAAAACCTGTGTTAGTTGATTGACCTTTCTCCACTGACCACATCATCTTCATCTGGACATCCCCAGCTTTGAGCAGACAGTAGATTCTTAATTGCTGATGTGGAAGGAACAGGCCTATCAGTTGTGCATATGAATGAATCTACAGCAGCAAGAAGCCAACAGAGGGATTCTAAATTCAAAATATATTCATCCATCCAACCGTTGCATTAAAGAGATGGTATGTGACTGGGAGAGCTGGTTCATACCTGTAATCCCAGCAGTTTGGGAGGCTGAGGCAGAGGAGGATTGCTTGAGCTCAGGAGTTCAAGACCATCCTGGACAACATAGTAAGACCTTGTCCTTACAAAAATAATTTTAAAAAGTAGCTGTGTGTGGTGGTACACGCCTGTGGTCCCAGCTGCTCAGGAGGCTGAGGTGGGAGGATCTCTTGAGGCTACAGTAAGCCATGATCATGCCACTGCACTCCAGCTTGGACGTCAGAGTGAGACCCTATCTTAAAAAAAAACAAAAAGAACACTATGTGTGTCAATTCCATTTGCTACTATTTTTCTGAGAAAATATAAGAAGCCTGACATTTTGAAACACGAAGAATGAATGTTCAAGTGTTAATAGTAAAACATCTCAATTTTCATGGTTGTAGCCTTTGAAGAAGATGGTGGAGAGAATTCGCAAGTTCCAGATTCTCAATGACGAGATCATCACCATCCTGGATAAGTACCTGAAGTCGGGCGACGGCGAGGGCACACCAGTGGAGCATGTGCGATGCTTCCAGCCGCCCATCCACCAGTCCCTCGCCAGCAGCTGAGGGCACGCACTGCACTCCGTAACTCAACGTGGCATGCCTTTCTCTCCATCAACTATTGAGTGAGATTTTTAGGGACTATTTTTCAGTATCTCTGTACCTGTTAAAGGGGGTGCTTTTCAATCTAAAAGCTTAATTTTATAAAATTGACTTATTTTTCTAGACTAAATTGTATATGCTTTTGGTAATTAGGAACTCAGAATACTGGCTGCTGATTGTTGCCATCACATTCTTACAAAATTGTTTTTCTATGGGATGTTCTGGCAGCTCTCTCAAAATGCTGCTGTGTTCGTTCATTCACTCATTCCATAAGAAACTTAATACCAGCAAATGTATTGAACCCCTTGCCAGTTACCATTAACTGTAACTATTTAGCTTTTGTTTAGGGATCTTTCTGATGGCCTTTTATGAGCAGTCTTAGTTCTAAGTCATTGTTCCCATCCCTTTTTTGTGTCAGTGTTTCAGAAAATAGTGAACTTGATTCCTCTGCTTCCACTAAATCCAGTTGTGACAAAATCTAACGTGAGATCAGATCGAAAGGTTATAGAAATAAAACTAATGAGATCTATTTGCGTTGGTTTACTTACTATAATCCTCTGCTGCTGGACTTGGCAAGGAATTCTGATTACCCTGAGCTCACATAGCAGGCCAGCTCGGATGTAGGTCACCTCCAGGGCAGAGGTGGGATGGGACCGTGACACCATCTCATACACCACTCACCTCACCAGCACAGATTTAGTTGTATATTTAGGGTTCTGCAGATAAATAAGGTGTAAAATGGCCGTGGTGGCTGCTCCAGTCTGGATATGAAGAGGCTACTCAGTGCCTCTCTGTTACCTGTGCCTGTGACCTGGCGGAGGCCAGCACTGTGGGAGGGGGAGATCAGCCAGGCCCAGTGAGTGCTGCGCGAAGGGGCCAGGAGCCTTGAGTCCAGCCTTCAGCTGTCCCTGATCCACAGGGCTCGCATGGCTGGAGCTGGTCCACACGATCTGTCAGAATGAAAAACAATCGGTCTCGACTACCAGTAGAGCCATGAACATGTTTGAGAAACCGAAGCCATATTTTAAAGTATTAAGGTAATGAGGTTCTGAAAATCCTAACTGAATGGAGAAAAATGTTATGCCTGTTTATTGTAAATGAATATTACAGATAATCACAAGTCCAGCATGATGAACTGAACTCACTTTATGTTGTAGCCTGGCAGGCATTTTACGTTTGGAGTATTGCAACCTTCATCAATTTTAAAATTTTCTATGGTTGCCAAGTTGCCATAAAAAGCGGGCCTCGCCTACTTTTCCGTCGGCCTTTGGAAACTGTCCAGAAGCATATGATGCACGGCACAGAAAAGTAGTAAGTGTATGAACCATCCTGTTGTACTGCCAAACCCAAGTGACATGAAGCTTAACAGAACTATTCTTTCTTTATAAAAAGTTCCCTAAAAGTGCTTTTGGTGATGTGAATTAATAACCCTGGGGCCAGCATTCTGCTGCAGATTTAGAGGTGGTAGCTGTGCTCATCTTAGAAACTAGAGAATAGGATAAAAAAGTACTGTAATTTAATTACCAAGTTTTATAAGGCTTAATTTTATGCCAAATATAAAATGTAATACTTTAGGTATAAGACAATCTCAAGTGCTATAAAATGTTAAATAAGAATTTATTAACCTATGCATGTTCAACGAGGTCTCTATCCTCAAGCGGGAGAAAACTGGTTCTTTTATGCACAAAGCACAGATGTAGGTACAGTATATAAACAGATCTATAATACATCTGTAGCATTAAATGACATGGGAGGAGGCAGTTAGGAAAAAAAAAAATCTAAAACAGCTCCTTAGAAGGCCAATAATAAAGCTGGAAAAAAGGGAGTTTCCATGCAGCCAGTGGTGAGCTGCATGGGATACCAGCACCACTGGCCTGGGGGGCTCTCGGGGGTGATGGCTTGCACTGGCACACCACTGAGTCACCTCCAGGCAGGAGCCACAGGCTGGAACAGGCAAACACTTTCTTCCCATCACCCAGGTGGAAATTAATTCTGCCAATACTTTTTTTTTAAAGGCCAATGGTTATGAGTGGGGATAGGTTCATCAGACCTTTTTTATCATTCTACCTTTTCTGCATATGTTTGCAATTTTCCATCAACTTCTTCATAAACCTTTTCTAGAAACCAAAATATGTAGTAGCCCAAAGGAGCTCTTAAGCAAAGTACTTGGTACAAAGAGACCATATGTTATAAACATTTTAAGTTTGTTCTAAGCATTCAGACTTAGAAAAGAACTTCATTTCAACTTTTTATTATAACGTGAGCTAAATTTAAGAAATAACCCTAGTCTTCTATTTCCCAGAGCTGTTCAAAGTCCAAATGACAATATAACTCATTATGAAAATATACTGAAAAGTACAAGAGCTGATGTAAAATGGTAGTCAAGGTTCCAGGCATCATGGGATTAGGATAACTAAAGAACAAACCCAGCCAGGCTACAGCAGCAGGCAGGATGCGCTGGCTCGATGAGGTGCTAAGAAGGCCGTCGAGTGCACACAGGAAGCCGGATTCACGGGGATCGTCTCAACCTGAGAGTCCTTCCTTGGCATGATTTCCACCCTTTTTTTTTATTTTGTAAGTTTCCTTCATTCAGTAACTTAGTTTTCCCATATTTCAAAAAATAAAACCAATCATCAAACAGGAGCCACTTTTATAGGTAAGGTAAATCACAGGATAATGTATTGGGATAACTGTTCTTTTTTAAAATAAAAAAGCCTTATATGTTCAGGGATTGATGGAGTGGGGATGACAAATGCACATTTCAGACTTCCATCACGAATGAAAAAATAAAGCATTTTTATAGACTTAAAACTGTCATTAGTGCATTCAGATTTTGGAGAAGGAATGAAAATGTAAAATAATTCCACAACAATACAATATTAATAGAAATCGTCATGTGCTGAGGTCATTTTAGTGAGCTACCATTGTTTAAATAGAAGTAATTTCTTGGTCCTAATTAGTGAAATCTTTAAAAAGATTGCCTTTAAAGAACATTATTTGAGGACAATGTTTTTTTAGACACATTCTGATACTCAAATTCACTTCATAACAATCACAGATTAACCTTTAATGACACCTTTCTTAAAAAGCTGTCAGATTTCCATTTCTTCGGGAGACATTTTCACCAGTGTGTTGTTCGATTCCACAGGTTAAGCTTTCTTCATTATTATTAAGAACTTCATACATATTAGAGAGACTGCCATTCACTGCTTTCTCGTCTTTTCGAAAAGATACAGGCAGACTTGCTAGACTAAAGCTGACGTCTTTAAAGGCATGCAACAAGAATATCCCCACAATGATTGTAAAGAAGCCGCTCAAAGTACCAATGACATCGTCACCGGGCATATCTTGCCACTCTTTAAAAAGAATAGCTGAGCAAGTTAAAACTGATGTTGTAAAGAATACATAATATATTGGAGTCACAATGGAAGTGTTGAATATATCCAGGGCCCTGTTCAGGTAATTAATCTGTGTGCTCACGCAGACGATGAGGCCCAGCAGCAGAACCCAGGCCAGGGGATGCCGCAGCACCGGCTTTCCAGCAAACAGCTCCTTGAGAGCAATGCCCAGGCCCTTCACACAGGACACTGAAAAGGCGCCGATCACAGAGCAGATTGTTATGTACACAAGAATGTTTGTCTGTCCATGGCGAGGACCCACTGCGAAGATTAGTATCAAGGCCACAATGACCACAAGGGTTGCAAAGACCACAAAACCTAGAGGAGGCAAAGAAAAGTGACATGAGTCAAATGGTTGGCTGTTCGTAAACACAGAATGCAAAACAAAATGTAATAAACTCTACAGGGAGAAAAGGTATGGCCTGGAAATAAAAAATCAGCTTTATTTTGCTGCCTGAGCGAAGCGCAACCACAAAAATTTACATAGATGGACACACCGGAAGATGAATGTGAGCTTCACATTCATAAACTCTCACACCCCCAACACTGTTGCAGCAGCATTTTATGCCAACTTCAGGCAGGAGGGACAGTGGGATCAGAACAGAGACAGAAACTAGGGAGGAGAAATCATGAGGTGGCCTTGAATGTTCAAAAATTTATAGATGCTTTAAAAACAAAACAAGAGTTCTTTATCAAGTTTTCTCTAAAAGGGGTAAACTTTTTTTTTTAATTTGCGGACAACTGCTGGAGTAACCAGCAAGTCAACTGGCGAACCTGAAAGATACTATTGGGGTTCTGGTTGAATATGGAGAATTAAAGCCAGCATGAAAATTGCCAGTAACTGTGTATCACTGTGGGCCGGGCATTTTTCTCAGCAGTTTGCACTCAACTACCCTGTGTCACAGATACTACCATTTGCATCCTCGAATGAGGGAACTGAGGCCTAGGTAAGTCACATGAATTTATTCTTCCTTCCTCAAATTCCACTAATAAAATACACAGTAATAGGATTTTTAAAGGCACAAATACACAAAATTAAGAACAAAAGGCCAGGTGCAGTGGCTCACGCCTGTAATCCCAGCACTCTGGGAGGCTGAGGATGGTGGATCACCCAAGGTCAGGAGTTCGACGCCAGCCTGGCCAACATGGCGAAACCCCAACTCTACTGAAAATACAAAAATTAGCTAGGCGTGGTGGCAGGTGCCTGTAATCCCAGCTACTTGGGAGGCTGAGACAGGAGAATCGCTCAAACCTGGAAGGTGGAGGTTGCAATGAGCCGAGACCATGCCACTGCACTCCAGCCTGGGCCACAGAGAGACTATCTCAAAAAAAAGAGAGGACTGAAGATAACAATCCTTCTAAGTCAGAAAGCAAAGGCTAATAACTGGTACACAGATCCAAGAAAGCTGAATCCTACACACCCACTGTGATCAAAGATTAAAAAGCTATTCAGCTTACAGCACAGAGTACCAAAAGGTACCAAGTGCCTCTGAAGTGGGGTAAAGGCAAGACTGAAAGTGAAGCCTGGCTGAAAAGTCCATTCAAGAAGCAAGGGGACTCCTGCCCAGTTCTGGGAGACTGTCCCTCCCGTGCCACAGAGTTCTGGGAAGCTGAGGTAAACCATGCCTCCAGGTTACCCTTCCCCACAATCAACCCCAGGATGCCCACAGCCAGCCATCAAACAGGAAGCTTTTCTGCTGGAGATCTGACCAGCCCAACTTTGACATAAAAGGAGACATCAGGCCGGGCGCAGTGGCTCACGCCTGTAATCCCAGCACTTCGGGAGGCCGAGGCAGGCAGATCACAAGGTCAGGAGATTGAGACCATCCTGGCTAACACGGTGAAACCCCGTCTCTACTAAAAATACAAAAAACTAGCCGGGCGAGGTGGCGGGCGCCTGTAGTCCCAGCTACTCGGGAGGCTGAGGCAGGAGAATGGCGTGAACCCGGGAGGCGGAGCTTGCAGCGAGCCGAGATCGCACCACTGCACTCCAGCCTGGGCGGCAGAGCAAGACTCCGTCTCAAAAAAAAAAAAAAGCCAAAGACCACCAGGAGAGAAGCCAAAACAAACAGAAAAGGGCAAAGTCTGTTTCTCCCATGTGGACAGAGGAAAACTTCAAAATAACCATCCC